GTATGATAACTTGCAAGGCCAAATGCGAGCAAACAAACTCTCAAAGCTAAAAAGTGGACTGTTAGCTCAGCAGAATACATACTGTGAAGAACCCACAGARGGTTATTTGATTGTGCTTTCTGGAAAACAATAAATTTTTACATTTAGGCACTCCTGCAATAGTCACACTTTTTCTGTTACAAACTCACTTGTTTTACAGTAAAAATCACAAAAGTCTCATTTAAGCCCGAAACAAACCTCTTCTTGTTTCACAGTCAGCAAATCTGGTCATTTTGACCAAAAGAAAAGTAGTAATCTCAGTTTAAAAGGGATCATGCTCATCATCTCCTGGTTCACGCTAGACAATCTGCAAGGTCAGAGCGTTGTGTTGCCATCTATAAAAACAGCAGAAACATGGTATTCTTTGCAGAACGGATTCTCCTCAGCTGGGAATTTGTTTCTGACCATTTTATCCTATTTCTCCTGAGAAACTGAATTCTGATGGTCCTGTCATTTATTCATTTACTGTACAGGAACTGTCAGATTAAACATCAAACTTTGATGCTAATTTTCTCTAGTTCTGCTTTATATAATATTTATATTGTTATCCCACAAAAAAGTCCATGCCAGATCAAAGAATGTCCTCTTCACCTCATTTTACTTTAAAATCTTAAACAAAATACTTGTGTGAACTAAAAATAATCAGAGTAAATTAACATTTAATCCTGTTTCTTCACTGAATAATTGCTGAGCTATTAGTATTATGTAGTGAATCTGTGTTTTTCGGCTAATTTTTTATTCCATGGTCWTAGCACTCCTCCTCTCCCGTGGGTTACCTGTCACACACCTGTACACCATCCATAATCATCCCAATTATTACCAATTATAATTATGATCATGTTGCACTGACTTCCCGACYCAAAATGAAGACATTAGAGGCTGTTCCAGTTCATATTTCCAATTATAGGAGCAGGCCTGTTTGCTCATCAGGATCCAGCTCTTCCTGGGTGCTGATGATGAAACTTGTGACGTTTTTTCTGGGAACCAGATCATTCAGCTCCAAAAGGAGCCATCTCTGAGCTAAACGAGGTTAGCTCTTAAACAACTCATTGAAAATGCTACTTTTTACACCTGCTTGTGTTTTTTTTTTTATTCTATCACCAGTTTTGGAGTTGCACCAAACTGATGCTGTGCACTTTTTTGGTCCACCTCACCCAACAAACCACCTCCAATGTAACAAACAACCAACTAAAACCACTAACTTTACCCACAAAACCCCTATCGTCCTACGTTTTCACCCGCAGGTTTTTTGTTTTGGGCTGAAACAGCCCTTTTCTGCATTATCATCAGTACGTGAGGAACGTGATGGYGCTGAGAGGTGACACATTATTTCCTGTCTTGTAACAGTGAACAAGAACTGTTATTC